GGAACAAGTTAGCATCGAAGTAACCACAACAGAAAACAAGGAGGAGGGGAAATAAGACAGGGAGAGGCTCTGATGCCACACAGAAAGAGACCAGAAAACTTTCATAACCAAAAAACCACCCACCCAAACCAAAACGCTCGGACTTCCCTGGTGGCGCGGTAGTTAAGAATCCGCCTGCCAATGCAGGGGACGGGTTCAAGTCCTGGTCCGGGAAGATCCCACATGCCGCGGAGCAGCTAAGCCCGTGCGCCACAACTACTGAGCCCACGTGCCACAACTACTGAAGCCTGCGTGCCTAGAGCCCATGCTCCGCAACAAGAGAAGCCACCGCAGTGAGAAGCCCGCGCACTGCAACGAAGAGTAGTCCCCGCTCGCCACAACTAGAGAAAGCCCGCACGCAGCAACGAAGACCCAACACAGCCAAAAAAATAAATAAGATCAATAAATTTATTTTTTAAAAAAATCAAAATGCTCAATTGACCTAAATTAGAAATTAATGGCATGTTAAAAGTAAAAATAAATGCACTCTACTAAGTGGGGAGAAAGAAACGAAATCTAGGAGACAGAAGATGCTCCCAAGTACACAGAGGTAGAAAGCGTACGGGGCAGAAATGATGAATCCAACCTATTATGAAGAACAAAGACATGGAGGCAGAGAAAAACAGGAGGAACAGGGTACTCACCTCAGTCCTCTCCCCACAACCTTCGAAGTCAGACATTAGGAAATCCAGAAAATGTAGGGATCCCTCCAACAGTCAGTCCCAAAGCAAATAACTGGAAAGCACCACCCTGTACCAGGCAACCCCTCTTGGAGGTTCTACGCGTATAAGAGTGTCACCTGAACACGAAGAAAAGGAAACCAAAAAAGAGAAAACAGAATGTGAAGAAGAGCAGGAGTGCTGAATAAGAAAACAGGGCCAACGTCAGCCGTAAAAACCCCACTCCTTCCTTCTTCCTCGGGGAGGGGCCCAAAGGCCCAGTCAGAACTTGAGAAGCAGAGGTCCCTATGCAAAGTCTTGAGTACCTCTCCTCCTTTAATGTGTAATTCAAAATATTAACAAATAGAAAGAACATCTAATTCATGATGACCATTTTCAAGCTTTCCCCAAACCATCAAAACTCACGTACTTGGCAAAAAAATAACCTACCGGGCTTCCCTGGTGGCGCAGTGGTTGAGAGTCTGTCTGCCTGCCGATGCAGGGGACACGGGTTCGTGCCCCGGTCCGGGAAGATCCCACATGCCACGGGGGGCTGGGCCCGTGAGCCATGGCCGCTGAGCCTGCGCGTCCGGAGCCTGTGCTCCGCAACGGGAGAGGCCACAGCAGTGAGAAGCCCGCGTACCGCAAAAAAATAAAAATAAAAATAAAAATAACCTATCTGGTACTGGGGTGGGGGGTGGGGGGGGGCGCCTAACTTCATGCTTGGCCTGACCACTCAGTCATCATCCTGCATAAGGAACCATTCACATCCTCCACATTTACAGGCAAACCTCTCTTACATTATTATAAGCAACAACTATTTCAGCAACCACCACCTCCCTCGGCCCCAAGTCCTCCCATATCTACCCTCTTCATACCCTCGCAGAAAACTTTCTAGAAAGAGCACTACACAAAGCTCCTTCCACATCTCCCCTCTCCATCCGGTCCATCACCAAAATGCCTCTGGCTAAGGTTCTAACTCTTTGTAACCTTACCTTATCCTTCAGATTCACAGGGGAGCTTCCTCAGAAGTCAGGCTCTGAAGCCTCACCCACCAAGATTTGTATTTGATTGACCTGAGGCCTAGGAATCCCCCAGTCCCCCAGCAATTTGGGTGACGCTGAGAACGCTGAGGGTGGCATCAACTGGTCCATTCCCTAGGTTCTTCCCTAGCTGGGATTCAGAGGCTCCATCTCTCTGCTATCTTTACTTTTATGGGTTGGATCTGCTCAGTTTCCTTGGATGGGAGTTTCCTCTTCTGCCACTCGTATCTTAAACGCTGGTTTCCCTTGAGGCCTCACATCTCAGCCCTCCCTTCTTCTCATTCAAGATGTTAGCCAGCTTCAAGGCCACTGAGCCAAACGGAACCACCAGGTTAGGATTCTTTACTCATTTTTCCACTTCCCTGAATATTCCTTCCTTATCACCTTCTTTCCCTATCGTAGGTCCTTGTCTTTTCACTGTTTATAAAATTAATTTTAAAAAATTTTGCATAACAGGCATTTCAAGTTACATTGAGAAAAAGGATAATAAACCCTATTTTTGACCTCCCAGTTTCAAAAATAAGCCACATCCTACCACTCAGTTCCAAAAATAAGAAATCTTATTTCCTCTATTCCGCCCATTTTCTTTCTGATGTATTTTAATGAGAATCCCAGAACTCACATCATTTCACCCACAAATTCTTTAACAGATAAGGACTTATTCTAAACATAACTATAAAACCAACATCTCATGTAACAAAATTAAAAGTATTCCTCCTCCAAATATCATCTAAAAGCTAATCAGTGTTTAAATTTGCCCCGTTTTCAACAACTATAAACATCCCCCACTCCTCCCCCTGAAAATTGCGAGGAGAATGGGGATAAGCACACAAAAAGAGAATTGTTTTTCTCGCCTTTCAGTTATCATCACTAGTGGTGCGGTGTTGGGATTGTGGTGGTGTGGAGAATACTGTGTGTAATGTGTGGAAGACAGCAGATGCCTAACTATGGCCTATTCAAATACTATTGTTCCCTGCTGTTCTGGAGAACCTAAATTTTCTGCGTGGAATAAGGGAGTTAGAGATGTAATTCAGATAAGGTTAAGTAAGAACCATATAAACTGAATTTGAATTGGAAGCAACAGTATGAACTCACTGAGTATTTTATACATACGTATTTCCTCTGTCCACTAAAAAGGCCTAGAAACGATGACCTACCCAGCAGCATTGAGCATTCCGGATACCCAGACTGTGGGGTTAAACTACCATTTCCCACTAAAAGAAAGAGAACAAGTTGAACTGAACCATGAGGATGCAATCACCAAATCCAGCCAGTTGGAAATTAGAGGTCAAATGGCTGAGTTCTTCACCAGATAAACTGTAAGAAAAGGAAAGGGCTGGAGGGGGAACCTGAGGTTTAGGAGACTTCAAAGACGTAAAAAGGTGTGCAAGACTAAACTACAGTGGCTAGATATGCACAGGCAGGTGATAAGACCATACAGAAAGGCAACGAAGCAATTACTATAGAAGTCAGGAAAGTGGTTACCTCTGGAGAGAGAGAGGGACCATGACAGTCATGGGACATGCCAAGGGGCTCTAGGGAGGCCGCTAATACTCTCTTGACCTGTGTGGTGGTCACAAAAAACATTTACCTTATAAAATTAACTAAGCTATGTATACTTTGTGTGATATCTGTATCTGTGTTTTACTTTATAATAAAAAGGTAAAAAGGAGAAGACTAAAGAGGAATGTGTGTTGTTCAAAAACAGATGCAGACTAACACACACACACACACACACACACACACTCGGAGGAAGTAACAGCATTGCATATCATACATATATGCAAAAAACCAGGTTTGTGTTACAAATAAGTTTATATAATAACCTTCTGAAATGTCAACTGTTTTTCACCTTCAGACAGGAAAATTGTTTTTTCAAGTTACAAGTTTATTAATTTTTAATAGAGAAATAGGCTTCACTTACCTAGTCATTATCAGAAATCAAGTATTAAACTAAAAAAGTAACACAGCATCTTATTTATTAAGTTGGTCCTTCCTCTCTCCCACTTCAATTACATAAATTTCATGGGTCAAGGATATCAAAAGACTGGAGAGTCCAGATCAATGTTTCCCAAACACTGCACAACATTATCACCAAATAAGAAAAATTAACACCATAAAATTGTGAAACCTCCCTCACAAAACTTATCTAGACATTTAACACAATCCCAATAATCATACTAACAGGTTTGCTTCTTAGCAGGGAGGGAGTGGTGACTACATATGATAATTTTAAAGTTCATATATTTTTTTACAAACCACACACACACAAATAAATATGAAAATTCTGTAAAATGAAACTTTAAAGTTCTGTAAAAGGGAACTTAAAATAAATATGAAAATTCAGTAAAATGGAATTACCCCTACAAAAGAAAAAAAAAGTATTAAGCTCCAAGAGTTTAAGAAAAACAGTGTGATCCTACTACACACACAGGCAAAGAGATCAATTAAACTAAATGGATATCCCAGAAATAGACCACAATGTACATAGGAATTTATAATACAAAAGAAATCAAAAGGGAAAATTTGGGACTAATCAGTAAAATTGGAATGACTAGCCAATGGGACAGAGACTGCTTACTTTCCACTAAAATGCCTTCTTCACTTCTTCTTGGCCACATGCTGACCAGCACGGACTGCATTCCCCACACTCCCTCACAGCCAGATGTGCCCACAAGACTATGTTCTCACCAATGGAAGCAGGAAGTGACATGTGATCACTTGCCCTGAACCTTCTCCTTCGTCCTTCACATGGAGGGAACCCAGCTATGGTAGCAACCCAGCTATGACCATGCAGATAACTACAGTGACAATTCCTAGAGCCACAGGACAGAAGGAACCTGACTCTCAACGACCAGTGGATACGGGCAGTTCTGCTGACTTGCTTTGCTCACACTGGAACTGTTAAGTGAAGAAAAAAGTCAACTCCTCTGTTCTTTGAACCGCAGCATATTTCAGTCCCTTGGTTACAGCAACTCAGCCTTACCCTAATTAATAGAGCACCCAGAGAAAAATTAAGTTGGATTCATACCTAACATACCAGATGGATCAAAGATTTACGCCTAAAAAAAGAACCACAAGACACAAGGAAAGATAAGCTTTTAACTCTAAGAATGGAAAAGGTCTTTTAACTGTATTACAAAGTCCTGAAGCCACAAAAAGGCCAAATATATATTTATCTCTATAAATATTATGGGGAGGCGGTGGGAGCCGGTGGGGGCGGGGGGGGGGGGTTGCCGCATGGCTTGTGGGATCTCAGTTCCCCGACCAGGGATCGAACCCGGGCCCCGGCAGTAACAGCGCCAAATCCTAACCACTGGACCATCAGGGAATTCCCTCTATAACTAATATTTTTAAATGTCTTTTATCTGCTGTCTCTTCCACTAGGATGTGAGCTCCATGGAGCAAGAACTGGGATCTATTTTCTTCACTATTGTATAACCTACTGCCTAGAATAAGTGCTTAATGCATAAGAGGCATTCAATAAATATTTGTTGAATGAATTGGTAAATCTAAGTATACAAAATTTTAAATAATCCACACTGCAAAATAATTATTTTTACACAAATGACCAAGTAAAAGATCACATATCACAAGGAGAGAAAGGGGGGGGGTGCTAATCTGTTAATGCATAGGAGCTCCTGTGAACTGATAATAAAAAGATCAATAACCCAACAGGAAAATAGACAAAGGACACTACCATAGAGGGAACAGAACAGGAAATACAAAGGGCCTTTAAGGGCCTTATGAAAAGATGCTCAATGTCAATCAAAATAAGAAAAAATGCAAATTAAAGCTCCATTAAACTGTCATTTTTCACCTATAGATTTGGCAGAGAAGAAATTATCAGTTTGACAATTATACTGTGATTGGCAAGGGTATGAGGAAGCAGAGTTTTCATCCATTGCTGGTGGAATCTAAAACTTTGCAAGCTCTATGAACAGAGCAATTTGGCAATATTTCTACCAAAATTGAAATGTGCATATCCTTTGACCCAGCAATTCCACTATTAGAAATGGATCCTATAGATACGTTCACAAACATGTTTAAAATGATATATGTACAAGGTTATTCCCTACAGCCTTGTTCATGATAATAAAACTGGAAATGATCTATATGGTCATCAATATAGTACTGGTTAAATAAATTCCAGCCCATCTCTAAGTGGAATGCTTTTTCACTTGGGTTAAAAAAAAAAAAAAAGAAAGAAATTGCAATAATCTTTAGATTATTGCTGGTATATGCCTGAAATCTCTGAAAGAATATATAAGAAATTGGTAACAATGGTTGTCTCCAGGAAGGGTAACTGGGAGACAGAGGGAGGAGGGAGACTTACTTCTCACTCTTTTTGTACCTTTCAAACCTTCTAAACATTGATTATATTATTACCTTCTTAGAAATAAATATTTTATAAAATAATAACTACAAATATTCATATCGGCCCCAGATATCTAAAAACTTGTCTGGAGATTCTCACTGTCAACCACACTAGGAAGCTATTGAGCTGAACAATTTTAACCCTGTTTTCATAATTAAGAATCACAGGGTTAGCAATTAACTAACACCATCATCTCCTCCTCCTCCCTCAAATAAATATATGTGCAAAATAAAGTCAGTCTCTTAATTCCACCCGTTATTCATTACTTTCTCTTAGAACTCATTCAACCTCATGCCACCTTAAATGGGCATGAAAATATCTCATAGTGCTCCAAGGATGGTAGCCAGAACTAACAACTATGCTAATACATTAACACAGCCTAGTGCCAAGGATGTTCCTTCCAGGCATCCAGAAGATAAAAACCTGACATAACTGACACCTCGGCAACAGCCCAAAGCTGTGCATCATCTGCCTTGGAAAATAAAAACTCACATCCTCAGTGACTAAGAGTTCAAAGTCAACAGTCACGGCTTTTGTCTTTTCCCTCATGTGAAAGGTCTCCACCCCCGCCATATCCCCCTTTAAATTGTAGGCTAACCCCATCACTTGAGGACTGATTGTTATTATGTTACAGCCATATAAGGAACACGAAGAAGTCATTACTTATATTGAGATTCTGCTTAAAAGGGAAAATATCCAAAGCATATCAAGTGAAAGGAAAAAGCAAGTTGTAAAACCAAATGTGTAGCCACGTTCCATCAATTTTTAAACATAATTAATACACATAATTTGTGTGTCTATGAAAAGTTTGTATGTGAAAAATTGTGTGTTCCAAATTATTAGCTGTGGGTAAAAGAGAAAAGGAAGGGAGAAAATTTTATCTTTAGACTGTTTTGTACTACTTGAAATTAAATAATCAAAAATAAACTTTTACATAAAAGAATAAAATTTTTGAAAATAATAAATTAGACTTTCCTTAAAAAAGAGAGCACTTGGGCTTCCCTGGTGGCGCAGTGGACGAGAGTCCGCCTGCCGATGCAGGGTACACGGGTTCGTGCCCCGGTCCGGGAGGATCCCACATGCCGCGGACCGGCTGGGCCCATGAGCCATGGCCACTGAGCCTGCGCGTCCGGAGCCTGTGCTCCGCAACGGGAGAGGCCACAACAGTGAGAGGCCCACGTATCGCAAAAAAAAAGAGCACTTGACAGCTACTAGAGACCTTCCCCCAAAGTTCTGAACCTAAAGAGGCTACAGAGACCTCATGCTTCTGTCTCTATGTACAAGTTTCAAACCATATCCAGGCAATCCCGACTTTTAACTCAGAGACACTCCCACATACATTTAGCACTTCAGGCCTCCCCTCATAGAAACATCTTACAGACTATTCTAAAGTTGGTATTTGTGTTACCCCCGTAGCTTAACACAACCTTAATAGCATTTCATCCTGAGAGCGAGACTTCTTTACAGAGATTTCAAAGTACTCCAAGGAAGCATATTATGAAAATGTAGTTCTGGGAAAGGTAAAAGTATGGAGGCAATAAAAAGATCAGTGGTTGCCAAGGAGTGGGTAGGGGGCAGGGATTAACAGAGCACAGGATTTTTAGGGCGGTAAAGCTTTTCTGTAGGGTACTATAATGGGGGATCCATATTACTATACATTTGTCCAAACCCACAGAATGCACAAGAGCAGATCCTAATGTAAATCATGGGCTCTGGGTGATAATGATGTGTTAGTGCGGATCAACTACTACAATAAATGGACCACTCTGCTGGGGAGACAGAGTCTGGGGGAGGCCGGGTGTGTGGGGAACAGGGGCGCCTATGAGAACTCTCTGTATTTTCTGCTCAGGTTTGCTGTGAACCTAAAAGTGCTCTAAAACGTAGCCTATTTAGAAGGAAAAAGAAATTTTTAAAGTGGTCCTATAAGGTGAAAAGAATGGCAGAAGCATTTTATACGTAGGGAAATGTTGGTGGTATTTGAACAACTTGGCCAGAGTTCAAAGATAACTGAGCAACTCCACCAAAAAAAGCCTACATTCAAGGTAATGCAAAAATAAAGAACCATTGGGTTTGGTCCTATCTCTCTTATGTTGGATTCATACAAAACAACGAAATGATCATCGTGGCTAAGAACTGACCGTGTCAATTTGATCTCTGCCAAGGAACATTAAAAGAGGTGATTTGTTGACATGTCTCTGCTGCTGGCCCCGGCAAGGCCACTGAGAGCTCCTAGGTAAAAAGCTGGCTTGGCTACCTTAGAGCCGGCTCCGGGGCATCTCCTCCCGCAGTCCTTCCAGCAGTGGCTCTTCCCCAGAGCTCCGCTCACTTGCTCCTGGAGCCTTGGAGGTGGGAGAGGCGCTCCCAGAGTCTCCTGGAATAATGAGAATTCTCCAGTAGCTCTCGCGCTGGCAATGTGACGCTCACAAGCGGCTCGGGGCTGCAGAGGGGAAGAAGAAAGAAAACCAGCTAAGCAGAAGAAAAGTCTGTAGTTGTGAATGTGCAGGCTAAAGGAAGTGCACACTTGACAAGCCTTTCAATTGAGACCACAAAACCAAGGCCGATTTACAATTGCAGCAAGGATGGAAAGGGTTGGAAAACAGACACGCGCGGTAAGTTGAGGTCATAGGTCCGTACCGATCTTAAATATTTTTCTAAATGACACAAAACCCAGTGGACTCTGCAGTTGGTAAACTTCAAAATCAAGCTCCTTTAAAGTCCACATACCATGTACTCTAGCCATTACAAAAACAAACAAAAAAACAAAGGCTTTGCATATATCAACTATGATATGTACCTGGGAAAAACAAAGTTCAAACCATCCACAAGTATAGAATGAAAGTCTCTCTCCAGACCCCTGGCTGCTCCTAGAGACACCCCATGTACCACCGTAACCAGTTTCTCGCGTATCCACCCAAAAATAACCTGGTTTGGGTCCATTTTCAACCACCACTCTCAGCTGTAGACAGATCTAGTTCAAAGACTCATAAAACAATGGTGGGGTTAGGATCGCACAGCGGAAAGGAAGGGGGCTCTAGATAACTATCAAAAAAAACAAAAAGCCACCCAAGCTCCTTTTTCCTTTAGGAAGACTTTAAAAACATCAACATTTGTCAAAGGAAGAGGAAATTTTTATTAGAACCAAACTTTCCCATTCAAATAGCTGAGCAACACAAAACACTGAAAAACGTACTCCTTTTGGAAAATAGCACCTTTTTATTTTTTAACCTCAAGGGACACTCTGCCAAGAAAACTTTCATGTAAATAAATCAAAGCAGAAAAGAAATCCAAAATACAGCATTCCTCAATAATTATTTGGAAGTAAAATCACACAACTAAAAAAAATTCACATCAACCTTGAAATTCAAGGGAAATGCTTTACAAATAATATCAAAACTTGCCTCGCTTCAGTTTAAATTGAGCCTCAGAATCAATTTGAAAAGAGAATCGCGAATGTAAAAATAAGACACAAAAAATAAGACACTAAAATAAGACAGATAAAAATATCCCCCCGTAGAAAGGTCAACCAGAAGCTTGACATTTTCAGCAATCATTTAGTGAAGTTAAAGAGTAAAAAGCCATTTCTAGAGTGGACATCCTTAAAAACAAACTCTTCAGCTAAGCAGCATCCACAACCCTTGAGTTTCAGAGCAAACTGTGGAAATCCTGGTGTTTTCCTAGATGCCGGGACAGGGGAATTTGGCAGATTCACCCGGAAGGTGCCTCCCCATCTGCCGAAGACTAACTGCAATTTAGAAGGGGCGAGTGCAAAGGGGCCTTGGCGGCCGCTCTGCCTACGGCCAGCCATGTCTTCAAGTTACAGGTACTATCTGGAGAGGAGCTTTAGATAAGCAAGAAAAGAAGGAAATACTGGTGCGTATTTTTCTGATTCTTTTTAAAAATCAGAGATTTTTTTTTTTTTAATTACATTAGTACTTCTAATTTCCCTTCCAACT